TACATATATACATATATACATATTGCACAAAGATTATCATATTTGGTGGTCTGTGCCATCTACAAGATTGAAATCCCCTGGTTTACAAAAGCAGTAGCACAACTTTCCTCAACAAGCAGCAGAATTTGAGGTATCATGTGGCGCAAATGATTACATAGTGTAATTTAATATTTCAGACAAGGAGTTTGTTCAAATCGGTAACCCTAAGTGTGAGAAGTAGTACTACTGATGCTTGCCTTGGCAAAAACCGCTAACAATATGTTGTTTAAAATTGACAACAAGGTGCATATACAAAACAGCATCTACAAAACAGATACCTTGCAGAATGTTTGCTTGCTCTGAAGCAAATCACCTCGTTTTTAGGAAGCGGAATTAGACACAAAAGCGTCTCCTTCAAATCACAAAACCCACTCAAGCTATAACCGCAGAGACCCCAGACTGGGCAGAGAAGAGGAACGCAGGGAATAGAGGGCGAGAGGGGAGGGAGGCAATCAGGTCCACTTAGGCACTTTGTGAGCGGAGCGAGTGGACCTGAAAAGCCTGGCTCCATCACTCTTCTTTAATGGCTCGCTCGCGGCTGGGGCTCCCGATGCTATTTACTTTGCATGCTGTAATTAAGACCTGGCAGCACTTTGCCGAGCTGTTAGGCTGACACTGTACAAAGTTACAGCTTAGAAGAGATTGTACTTCGCTGCTTTTTGTGCCTTACTTAAAAGCAAAATTTTTTATTTTTTTTGGAATAGCATGCACAATAAAACCACGATTGTGCATTAAGAAAGTAAATATGGGTGATTTTGATTTCATATTGAATTTTTAGCCTGTATGTGGAAGTCGAACTTACGGTGGATGCCAAACTTGGAGTGCTGTCCACATTTATTGATGACGACAACCATGATGAGCAGAAATGTGCACGCAAACACAGCAAGACCCACTGCTACTGACACCTATGAATGTGTAAATGGACAAAATTAGAGAGATAAATAGGAGCATAAAAAAACAACACAAAGTTGTGTATCATATGTGTCTTGTCTCTCACCCCAAACACTCTGCTCTCCAGTTTCTCCGTCTCCGTTGATTGGTTGGTGGGAGCTGCTAATGTTAAAGCATTTCATGAAATATTACTTTATGAACACTGCAAAAGATGACTTTCTTGCTTAATGTTTTGTCTTGTTTTCCAGTACAAAGATCTAAACATTGTTAAAATCAAGATACATTTACTTGAGAAGCAAAATAACTTAAGATATTGTGTCTTGTTTTCTGAAAAATATATCAAAATTAAAGGCAAAATATGTAAGATTTTTTTATTAAAATATCCAAAAACCACTAGAACAGTGTTATATATTTTGCTGACTTGTGTACTTGCATTATCCCAAATGTTTCGAAGAATGTTTATATCCAGAGAAATAA